AATTAAGCTGGCATTTGCTTCAATGAGCAAAGAGAACACTCTGGCGTCGTTCTGTCATCCTGCAGGTCATAAATCAAAGGCAGGATGACCTCAGACATCTTGCAATAAAATGAGTAGGAAGAAAGTCGTTTTATCACTTTAGACACAGACATGGCCTAGTGTTTTCTTAGTAGAATAGAAAGACCTACTCAATTTTCATCACTAGAGGACAAACATAAAGTCGGTTGTATCCTTCCTGAAAGACAAGCCATTTTCAAGTGTTAAGGATCAGGGATTGCTATTCAACTCCAGCTTGGTAGCCATAATCGAAAGGGTTAACAAGAGAAGACTGAATTGGCTCTAGTGGGGGCTCTGGTGGCCAAATGGTAAGGAGCTGCACTGTTAACCCGAAGGCACAGAGCTCGAATCTACCAGCTGCTCTGTAGGAGAGAAACTGGCAACCTCTTCCTGTGCCTTTGAAAACCCACTCAAGGGTCAGCTCTGGGATGGTTCCTACTTAATGGTATTCAAAAACAACAACTGAATTGGCTATGGATTCAAATTAGCACGGGTCCTTTTTTTTCCCTCAGGAGGAAAATTCATATAAAAATGAGGGAGAGAGAACAATAGGAGGCAAAAATAGCTAGAGGGGAAAAATGTTTTAGGACTAAAATAAAGTGTGTTCCTTAACTACCCATTTACCTTCCTTCTCTACTACGATCTAGGGTAAAGAAATGAAAATATTCCTAGAAGTAAAACCCATTGTGCTACCTGTGACTACATGCTTTTTACACATTTTATTTAGCTTTGCTTTCTTTTGGTTGGTGAGAGCTGATGTATTTCATAACATATTATTTGCCTCCACCCGGAGTCACCATAGTAGCAGATTTCCTGAGAGAGACAGGATACATACTTCCTTAAATCAGATGAAAACAGGATTGTAAGAAAGAAGTCAAAAGCTTGCTTAGTAGATGGTGATGTTATTGCTGAGCTGTGGAATATTTTCTTAGTGTTTCATCTTTCTTTTTAATTTGTTTGTGTGTGTGTGTGTGTGTGTGTGTGTGTGTGTGTGTATACACACCATCAAATAGGATTGGACTGGTACAGGAGGAGATTGCCCCTCCTTCTCCAGCAGAGCATCTGGTGGATTCGAACCGCGTACCTCTGGGATTGCAGTGCAGCTTCTTGCCACCAGAACTCCCTAGTGTTTCATCTTTCAAGCTGACTGTCTTACCTTGAGATTTTAAGTCCTTAAACTAGACACTGGGAAACCAGGATGGCCCTGTCTCTGTAACTTCACAGTGTCAACCTGGGAGTACATAGACGTTGGTATGTTTCTAGTCAACAATCTTCAAACATTAGTAAAAGCCTAGTGAATAGATGGGCTCTCAGAGGTTGTTCTAAATGAGTGAGTTAATTTTGGCACACTTGGCATAGAAAGGAAAAGTGAGCAAAAGAAAAAAAAACATGAAAATTATACCCTCTCTTGCCAAAGGGTTCCTGGAACAGCAAGCAAAAGATCTTTTGGTTCCCATCTCTTTCTCTACGGCTTCCCTAAAACAATGAGTGTTGCTGGCACAGGGCCACATCCGACTCTCATGTATGTATGTGCTTCCTCAGCCAAATGCCAGTCCCCACAGAAGATTACATCACAAACGTCTTGTACGGAAATAATCACATCACTGAGAATCACAAATATTTGGAAGAAATCAAAGAATTTGTTGGAGAATTGGCTGCTCATAAATAGTAGCCAGCTTGTTGGCTTTAGCGGATCCTGGAAAGCTGATCAGATATTTCAATCCTTTGATGTATTCTGGATTCCTAGGACTTTGGGCTCAACACAAAAATGGCTTTTTTTTTATTTAAAAAAAGCCTTTTAAAATATAGCTAATGATGCACTAGTTTGAGATATATATATATATAAAGTGTCAGGTAAATATAGAGTGAACAGCATCTTTAACTAAACGTTACCAATGAAAAGAAACATCTAGACCTGGTGCACACTAACACAAAGCTAGCTAGATGTGTGTTTGCCATTGAGTCAGAACTAATGCATAGCTGATACCTTCCAGGTTTTCAGAGGCAGTACATTGCACGGAAGGTGACTGCCCATCATTTTCTTGAGGAGTATATGGGAGATTTGAACCATATGCCTTTGGGATTCCAGTGCAGCTTCTTACAACTAGGTCATCAAAGCCCCCTTTATCAATTTAGGAATGACAATTAAGTCTAGCTTTCTGATAATGCACCAATGCCCCCCCCCAATAAAAAAAAAACAAAAAAATTTTACCAAATGCAATAATTTTGGAAAATTTTAATTTCTCGGAAATTTGAGGGACTGTTTCTCTCACTGAAGGGTTTTTGACACATTATGAAATGTGACTTCAGTAGAAGAGACCACACTGCCAGGCTGGCATTGTGTGGGTGACCTAACCACTCTTCACCTCGGTGTGCAATTGGTAGACCTCTACAGTGGACGTCAAACTAAGCTCACACTTTCCCTTGGAATTGAGGGACTTCTCTCTAATATGGTTCACACAAGAATAAAATATTAAAAGTTAGTAAAAGATTTTAAAACTAGCAACCTATTCATTTGTAATAATGAGTAATTTTCTATCAGATAAAATGTTAATGAAAGGTCAAGAGAAAACTGAAAGCAATACTTTAAATATTTAAAACTCATTTTTCAAGAGTTTTCTACATTGCCAAGATGGCCAGTGGTTCAGTAACTCCTGGGAGGGACAAACTCAGATATCCTACATGAAACAAGTGCAGTGCTGGTTTCCTGGCATTGTTTGCTCATTTAACCAACTTCTGATTCATAGTCTAGTCTCTTCTACTTTCATCTAAAATCTTCTATATCCTGTTCAGGAATCTTCTATATTTGTACAAGGATCAAGTGTTTTATTTTTAAGGCTTGAAGAGGTAGGGTATGATTGGAAATGGAATTAAAATGTCATCCCAGAAGCCCTCTAATAAGTACAATAACCTTTAAAAAGAATTAGTAAGAGTAAGGGGAGAAATATTGGCTTTGCTATGTTTTTGGCCCTGATGGCAAGGCAAGATCAAGAGAACTGTCCAATCAGAGAAGATATACTATTCATTCTCAAAATACATGCGTGAATGGATAGCAATTACTTTTAATGTGTTGGAAGCTACTCAACACGTAGGTACTCTCACAGATTAAAACTATCCAAATTTTATATTAACAAATTTTAATGGCTAACAAACCTCTAAACAATTCTGCACACTGAAAACATCCATAAGATCATTCATAATACCTTCCAAGTGATATTTTGAAAATTAAAATCAGACTTTAATAGGTTTAATATATTATAAGAAAAGAAGGTGCTAAATTTGGTTTATCAACTGATTTCTTAATCTGAGTACTGTTAACAATTTTGAAGGAGATTCTGATTGCGTGACTGAATTGAATCAGCTGTTTCTTAAAGAATTTCTTTTTCCCCCCTTTCTTACTCAAACCAATCTTGTTTTGCAGGCTGATTTTACAAACACAAACCCCAAATTTATACCTTTTTTTACAGACTACATATAATTTTTTAAGACCCAAACACACACACACACACACACACACATATATATTTATTTAGAGGAAAGAAAAAGCAGGTAGTAGTTGAATGCATTAGAAACAGTAAAGTCTCAGTTATGAAAATATTTCCATTAAATCACCAAACCCAGTTAATAATCCATCAAAGAGAGAATCACTTGCTGAGTGAATAGCCCCTATACCATTAGGATAAGAAGGAAGAAATGCAAACACTGTATTCTATTTTTGAAATACATTTAAATACAGAAACATGCCAATGATATTTAAACTTCCATTTAGAAATCAGGAAAGGGAGATAGCTTGGGATTTCAAATTTTGTGCTAATACTACAGCATATACTTGCTCAGGAGTAACCGCTTTGCACACCAAATTTTAAACAGAATCTCATGACAGACTTCTCCAGCTCAAAACATTGGCAGTATCAAGGCCCTCATACAGTTGAGAAAGGGCAAAAAGAAATCTGAAGAAGTCTCCTTTAGAAAGTATCCCAGAATCATTCAGGCACACTCCTTCCAATGTCATTCACCAGCAAAACAAATGGGCAGTATGAAATACAATGGAAGAAGGGTTTTCTTATATGCTCTTGTGAATTAGCATACACTGTATCATTGACAAAACATTTCGGAAGTTGAAATATACACAGATAACAATGTTTACCACATTTAATTTGAAGAAGAATCTGAAGGATGTTTCTTTTGGATGTATTCAAATACAATGGGGGGAGAAATGACTGGATACCCTTTCTGGACAGACGGAATCCTTTCTGATACAGATCTGTGGCATGAGTTGCCATGAACAAACACCTTATTCATCTCAGTTTAAGTACCAGCAAGTAGAGTTGTCCAAACCTGTACTTGAGCTGAAAAGGAAAACAACTACTCATTGTTTCTTTGAAGCATGCATTTGACCATGGCAAAGTGCAAGTGGGCGTGCATTATGGGGGCAGTCTGGGCCCACACAGCGAGAGAAGTAGACCATGAGCATTTGTCGGGCACAGTGCAGAAGCTTGAGGAGGAAAGGAGAGTGACCAAAATTCGAAATCGTCTTCTTGGTTCATTTTAGCAAGGCCATTCCTCAGCTGACTGCTGCTTCAGAAAATGCAAGGCAATGGGACCCGACTTGGCCAGAGGTTGGCTACGGGAGCAAGCAACTTTTGACAGCCAACATGGGGTAGTGTAATGACACCAGCTGAAAAGACTTCAGCTGCCAGAAGCAGGAGAAGGCTGTGCACTGGGCCAGAGATGACTGTCTTATACAGTGTCCCACCTGAGACTGCATGAGACAGTCCCTAGCCAGCCAGGGGGCCACCTAGCTACATCAGGGGCCGAGCAACACACTGCACACCAGAGGGCAAGGCACAATCCGAGAGAGAGAGAGAGAGAGAGAGAGAGAGAGAGAGAGAGAGAGAGAAGGGCAGGAAAACAAGCAACACACGCGGCTGTCGTGCACAAACCTTCGGGCTCTGTGTTCTCTTTGTGGTGTACTTGCTTCAGCGGGCAGCAGAAGATTTCGTGACACTTAGCACGAAAGGGGGACTCTTTTTTCTTTAATTCCGCAGATTGGATGGAATCTTGCCGTAACATAATGTATTCCTGTGTGCCAGGGGGGGCGTCATCCAGAACTGTGGTCACCACATAACAAAATGAACTCAAGTTAGAGCTTCAGGATAGCAGCCATCAACTTATATCTAATCTCTACCCAGGGACGACTAAGGAAACAACAATTCCCAGGAAAAGTTTAGAAGACAAACATATTTTTTTTTCCAACATGGAGATTTTTCTGATTAGGGGCTTAATTTAAAACACCGATGTCCTAGAAATAGTAATAGCAGGTCAGTGGCATGTGCCTCTGTAGTTTGCACAATTACAAATAAAAGTGTTAAATGCATCAAATACCTTAACATTCATACTTATATTATTGGTAAAGACACATCAAGCATGTAGAGTTCAGGTGTATCCATTTGAGATACAAGGTAAATATTTCTAGTTGAAATTGTCTAATGTTCACCAGTGGACTAGGAGTTTACACTTTCTTTCTTGATCTACATAGAGCCTGACGTCCAAGTTTATACGGTATCTGAATTGGACGTACGAATCTAGTGAGCTGGTCTTGGGTGTTTTGGTTTTGCTTTGGTTTTAACCCCAAAGAAAATTTGGCGCTGTGGCAGATGTCCTACAGGTGTTCACAATCACCTCATGATGACAACAGATTTCAGCTGAGCACTTAGTGCACTGTAGCAAAGGTCTACCTTGCTGCAAGACTCGCCTGAGAACTCAAATTATTAACCTTGCATGGCAGGCCCCAACCAGCCTTCCAGTCCCTCATGGGCTCATTTGATAGTCAGGACTGGCAATCACTAGTGTTTGCTCCTTGCAGAAATAGGGTCCTCCGTTACAGGACTGAGCTTGATAGCACCCACCACAGGGGGGAGCAGAGACCTGACCCTAGAATGGATGTTTCCTCCTCTCTACTCTCCTATTCCATTTCCCCAAGAGTGAGTCAGTGCCTCCAGAGCTGTGATTAATGACTTGCTGACTCACTCCACTCCCCCAAGTGCATACCTTTAACATGCATTTGGGACCAATATCACCAGCAAGCTTCTTAGGGGAAAAAGAATGCTACCTTGTTGGGGGCGGGGGCAAAAAAGAAAAAGATCAAACACAGCCTATAGCTGAAATCAGATAGCTTCTGACAGTCCTGTGTTTGAAAGCTTAATGGATTTCCAGAACTTTCAGATTTCTGGGGATGGGGGAGGAAATGATATGAATATCAGCTCAGCTTGTAAAAGAACACAAGAGTTCAGAACAAGTTGTTGATAGATTGCCTGCGTTTGAGGCTGTTGTCTTCATCTATAAGTCGTTAAATTATGCAAAGAAGGTAATGAATATTTTAGCCAGTTCTCTTTGTATTTCCCTTCCAGCATTCATCAGCAGTAATAAAAAATATTGTATAGACACACTAGCGCAGCTTTATCCAGAGAAGAAGTCCCTTCATCTACTAGCAATGCAGCTATCACTTCTGGAAAACTCACTGTTGAATGCACGTCTCTGCTAGCAACAGCTGCTATTCGATAATTTGCAAACATTTCCCCTACTATGAGCATCAAGTTATGGTAATATAGACAGCTATCAGATTCCATCACAACTAAAGAAAGAGTCTGGTTTTTACCATCCAAAATCATTTAAGAAAACTCCTAAACTTGAAATTTATTTCTAAAAAAGGGAAGAGAACTACCCAAGATTATAGGGAATCACAAAAATTTCCTTTCCAAGCACTGCTACACAGGCAGAGTATTCTGATATTCAAGGGCAACAGGAGGATTAAAAAGAAAATGACTTCTCGAGAATGCAGAGGAACTTGAACTTGCTATTCTGAAGGACATGATAAACATCAGTAAATTGTCTCTGCTTTTTCATTTTTCAGCATCACCAATGACGTCACAAATGAGCGTTTTTGGAGATTAATGGCAGAGAGAAGCTAATAGCCTTTGGCTGACTCTCCAGCCATCAGCTTTTCCCAGCTGGTCATTAATTCCCAGAAAATGTCTCGGGCTGCCATCATTATTGTTTAATTAGATACAACTGGTTATCTGCAGCATACAACCAAATTTGACTGAGAGTGACATGCTTACTGATACAAGAGCCAAGCCTAAAATTCATCAGGAAGAGGAAGCAGGAAGGTCACAAAAGTGCAGGCTAATTGCTTTCCACCAAATTCTCTCTCTCTCTCCCCGCTTTGCTTTCTTCAAATTGAATTTAGCAAGTTCAAAAGGTGCCAAAATGAGAGCATTTAAGGAGTCAACTGAGCAATAATGACAAGCACAGAACATTTCCTTGGAAACAGTGACTATCTGCAAGTGAACGGCTCATCCCTGGGTCTCGGGCTGTCTAATGAATGTCCCCCACACCAGTCAATTCCAATCAAAAGGAAAAATGCATGGCCAATCCTGGCATCACTCTGGAGTCACGCTTTGGACTTCTTACCAAGATATGACATTACACGGTAGTCTGGGGTATCTCTGAAACTGAGGATATTTGGGATGAAAAATTAAGACTACTTCTAGAAAATACATTCATTCCCAGGACTCCTCCAAGTAAGAGAGGGGTGTCCTGTGAAACTGAGAACAGTGGACTTCACATAGAATTCCACACAGAGTGCAGATACAGACTTAAGTTCTAATCCTAGTCCTAAAAAATGAAGATATGGTGTTCCCAGGGGACACGAGGGGAACACTGACCTGCAGAGAAGTCAGCTCATTAGCATAAGGGGACAAATGGTATGCCTGCTTTCTACCTTAGATAAAGGTTCTGTCATTTCTCCCTTGCACATGACCTCCATCTCCTAATAGTCATCTCCCTCTTCACTGAAACGATTTGTCCACATTTCATGATTGCTACGACCCTTCTCAAGAATCTTGGAGGACAGTGACTAACGGAGAGAAAAAAAAAAAGCTACACTAGGTTCATAGGCTCAACTTGACCTCTGAAGGTAGTTAAGGTGGTAAAGGTGACTCATGTTTGATTTCTGAACCCAGGGTCCCATGGCATTTAGAAAGATGCTAAGCCCAGCTGCAACAGTTACAAGTAGTAGGTTTCTGCAAGGAAATTGTGCCCATATAGCCAGTGCCCCCAGCCTTGATCGCACAGCCCAGCTACTCAGGATTTCAAAAGCCCACGGAGGTGGTATAGACTTCGAGGAGAAAGTGCACACACACAAATCCACACACTCACAGACACACAGACACTGACAGGAAGCATCCTCGAACATAGAGGTGACTCTGCTGAGGGGACGACAGGAATACACCTGATGAAAAAGGTCTTCTTTAAAAAAAAAAAGAAAAAGATATTGCATTCAGCACCCATCAGGTGGGCAAGATTGCATCTATACATCTAGAAGGGTCTCCCACAAGCAGTGCGGGGTTGGCCTTGACCGTTCTCCTGTCAGGGTCAGTCATGGGAATGACTAAATGCAGTATTTCTGATTCAAACTACAAACTTTTTATTATGTTTAGGGTTACTTAGATGACAAAAGCAAAAACTATAGCAACAGTTAATATTTGATTGGGGAGAAAAAAACCCATAGGCTGAGTCGGATGTACATCCTTAACTGTGTCTTTAAGAATTTGTAACTAAGTCAGGCCAGAAACATATGGTTCTTATTTAGCATTACTTTAGAACAAGGCAAGCTTAAAGTCTTTTCAATGATTAAAAAGCTGTGCAGGTTTGCAGTGATCTAAAGGCAAGTGAAAGTGGTTATGATGAAGAATTTGTTGGGGATAGGGGTCAGTTCAATCCTGTCGAAGTGAAGGCAAATCAACACTAAATTAAAAAGCAAGTAGGAAGTTACCATAAGTCATATATACTCTGAGGAGTGTGTAAAGTCTCTTTTACTGCATAAAGTATGTGATGACAAAAGTTAATCATTTACTCTCACGATCTTTTGAAAATATTGTTTTACTCTATAATTAAACATGAAAATATCTCACAGTATCACAAATACTAAGATATCATATTCATACCATGTATCCCAAAGGAAATATTTCTATCAAAAACAACTCCATAGTCTTTAAAAAGTGAGGGGAATACAGCTGAGAAAGGGAAACTGACCATCCAAAAAGCATACCCGAAGTGATCTGAAATTCCCAGCCTGGGAGCCAGAATTCCAGTGTGCTTGCCAGGTCCTAAGAAGACTGCTCGGCTTAAAAAAAAAAAAAAAGACTTATTCTTTCTTTATTAAGACAGGAAATTAACCAAGGTGGCCAAAGTAACTATGCACACCATGACACCTGGCCTCTTCCACAGCCCCCAAAATACCAAAAGCCTCTTGTACAAGCCCTTATTATTTGATGATGTTATGTTTTCCTTTTAAATGAACTCTTCCCAAAGATGACTCAACAAACTTAATTAAGGATACATGATTTCAAATCAAAGCAGATCTGAATCACCAGGGCAACAGAAATGAACACGGCAATGGACTAGCAATAACAGTTATTAGACATACATTAAGTGCCCCAACAAGCAAAGATTCACAACAGCTGTGAAGCAGAAAATATGGCATAATATACAGATTAGCTGATGTCCTCACAATATGAGAATGGGAGGGGGAGGAGTAATCAGAGCAATTACTCTTCCATATAAAGCACCTGTCAAGTTGAAAAGTACATTCAACAAAAGGACATACCAGAGCCAGGCTCTCATTTTTCACCCCAGCTAAATTATCATCTACTTGTCTATCATCAAGATGTGAGCCTACTGACACAAAAAGAATAGGTAGGGGTGTACACACAGTGTATTGAAAGATACGTATGTACTAATGTACACAGTGCTAACTGAAAGACTTGGTAGTTGTAACCCACTAACTGCTCCAGTGGAGAAAGATGTGGTGGGGTCAGCTTTACTAAGGATTTACAGCCTTGGAAACCCTTGAGGTTTTGCTTTTTCCTTTAGTGTCACCATGAATCCGAGTCAATTCAAAAGCCTTTGGTTTGTCACAATGAAAACCATTCTGACACCTGATTTAAATATGCCTTGTGAGCTGTTAACAGCAAGGCTGGCAGTTCGAACCCACCATCTGCTTAAAGAAAGAAGGATCATGTCATCTCCTCCCATTAACAATTACAAC